CAACAACAACAACAACAACAACAACAACAACAACAATAATAATAATAATAATAATAATAATAATAATAATAATAATAATAATAATAATAATAATAATAATAATAATAATAATAAATATGATATACTGCAATATGAAATGCAAGGGAGCAGTACAAATCCTACACTCGGAAATGGCAGTCTTCTAGCATATTTACAGGAGTTCGTATGTTTGACCTTAACAAATGTTTAGCTTATCAAGTTTTACAGTTGTTGCTTATGATGTTCTTTTGCTACATAGGTGGCTGGGTGAGAGAAGTACAAAAATTCACAATGGAACTAATCAGAAAGCAAAACAAAATAATCAAAATTAACTAAATTATTATAGTCTGTTTCTAACACATAATTGTGTTTTATTATTATTATTTTTAAAGAAACACAGAGCTGGCATGAATCTTCTTATGGGGAGAAAGGTAGCCTTTAAATGAGACAAAATACTAAATGGCTTTAGGGTTCATCGGCCAGAACTCCTGGAAATGCTGGGCGCCAGAAAGGCTCTTCCCATGTGGAGAAAGCTGGCTTTAGGATGCAGAACCCTCTCGGAGACCTGCTGCTTCCACTTCAGAGCAATGACTCTCCCAGCCAGGGAAAACAAATGATGATGATGATGATGGGGAGCAGAGGAGCAAGGCAGTTTGGGGGGGTCTCCACAGGTGAAAACCTCCAGGCGCCCTTCGCGCCTTTTCTCTCCTCAGCGGCAGCCGCGCGGCTGTGCGCAATCAGGGACGCCAGCAAAACACCTGGCCTGGGTGGGGCGCCCGGGGCCCCTTTTCCCTTCACTCTGGAGAGGGCGCTTCTTCCCCCCCCACAAGATGAAGCCGGGCGCCCCATAGAGTGTGAGCCCTTTTTTTGGGGGGGGGAATGGGCTTTTTTAAAACCCTGCTTTGCCATTCATCCCCACAAGAGGAAGAAGGACAAAACACCTGGCCTGGGTGGGGCGCCCGGGGCCCCTTTCCCTTCACTCTGGAAGGGCGCTTCTTTTTTCCCCCCACAAGATGAAGCCGGGCGCCCCATAAAGTCTGAGCCATTGGGGGGGGGCAAATGGGCTTTTTTTAAACCCTGCTTCGCCATTCATCCCCACAAGAGGAAGAAGGAAAGAGGAGAGGCCGAGGCTTTTTTCCCCAAAGGAAGGTGTGCGCATGCAGGGCGCACCTGAGCCGATGGAGGAGCAAAGGCTTAAGCGGCTGAGGTAAAGACTGTGCAGATGCCACGCGCAAAAAAAAGGTTCATTATCAAAGTGACCGTGTGTGTGTGTGTGTGTGTGTGTGTGTGTGTGTGTGTGTGTGTGTGTGTGTGTGTGTGTGTGTGTGTGTAAAAGACGTGCATGTTTCCTCACAAGCTGCTTAGCAAAAGAGAAGGAGAAGGGAGAAGGCGATGCTCTGCTTGAGGGAACGGGACAGCAGCGTCCCCTTTTCTCCTGAGGTAAACTTGGATTGCAGGGTTTTGGCCCCGAAGAGGCACAAGAGCGTTCGCAATTTTTGTTCCAAAAAAATCCGCGTAACTTGCGGTGGGGGCTATATAACATCGAGCGGAGGTATATTTGGAAATGAAGGGGGAAAGGGAACAGGAAATGGGATGAAGCCAAGCCAAGCTTTTTTTCCCTTTAAAAAAAAATAAAACACACAAAAAACACTTTGAAGAGATTAATTAGGTGGCTTATCTGCCGGCAAGCATCTAATGCTGTTTTGCGGAGTGAAGTGTATTTGCCAAATGTTTCTGGAGATAAAAATAATAACGATAATGGGGCTATATTTACTCTTTTAAAAAGAGGCGAGGTTTGAAGGGAAGTTTGAAGATGATCCGACGGTCTATAAAGGCATTATCGATTGCGGGGGAGGGGGGGAGCCAAAGCCCAGTATGGAAAGGCAGAGAAACAATAACCTCTTTTTATTGCCTTTATGCCTTGCCCTTCCTCCAAAGAGCTCAGGGTGATGTATCGGGTACCAATGTCCTTTAAAAATAAAAATAATAATTTAAAAAATATCTCATGACCAGTTAAGCTGAAGGGCAGTGATAAGGCCAAAGACTCCTCTGACGGCCATAGCACTTACTCCTGAGTAGACACAGAGCATGCCCATTGAACCTGTGCCTTCCTAAAGGTGTTATCTAGGCTACACAGTTGTACCAGTTTGGTAACTGTTTATTATCCATGGCTTCCTTCTAAGGAATCTTAGGTTTTGCTATGTGGTGAGGTACTTACCGACTGTGATGTGTGGGAGTGTATTTGAACAACCTAGTAAAGATAGATAGATTGATTTAAGTATTTTTACCCCACCTTTCTCCTTAAGAAGGACCAAAGGCAGCTTACATCATTAAAAAGACAACATTTAAAGCTGAAAACAGCAAGTATATCCATATTCAATATATACATATTCAATAAATATATACATATTAAATAAAGAATTAAACATTCTATTAGAAACAGTGAGCTTTCTCTCCAGATGAGTACAATTTAAGTTCCTGCAAAGTCTGGGTCCTGCATGAAGCACTCCCAGGAGGGAGGATTATGGGATTTGTTGTAAAAAAAAAAAAAAATTTGGGTCCTGCATGAAGCACTCCCAGGAGCGAGAATTATGGGATTTGTTGTAAAAAACAACAACCACATCCAGAATGCAATTCTCCCTAACAGAGAAGACATAGTTAGGTATCACTTCAGTGAACTTTTTGAGGAAGACATTCACCCCATTTCAGGGTGTACTTTATGAGGTCTTTGTGAGTTTTGCACTTTTATGGATAGCCTCAGGAGTAGAAAGAGGCAGAATTAGGAAGAATGTTCCAGACTAGAAGCGCTTTGGGGACCAGGATGAAGCAGCATCTTATGCACTTACCCCTCAGTGCCTGGTGCTTTTTCCATGCAATAAATAGCTTTCTACATTCTGAAAGATGCTTTGGGAGCTCTGAGGAAGAAACCAAGGGCTCACCAGAGGAAAATGTGAAGGAGCCAAGACCTTGTCTTGTTTCCCTGTAGATGTCTTCTCCCATCTGTGCAAGGTCTGTTATTTCTGTGTTTTCTCAGAAAAGGAATAAAAAAAGTACATTTGAACCACAGGCAAGAGTCTTGGGTCACTTTAGAGTCAGTCAAGGATAAATTATTTCCTTTCTAGCAGTGTTTAGCATCATTGAAGTATTAAGTGTACGTGTAGGTAATTGTGTTTTTATTTAAATTTCTGAGTTGCAAAGTATGGCAACTCTTTTTAAAATTGCTACTGATACAAAAAAGAAACAAAGAAAACAAGAATACCCCCCCCCAAAAAAAACCCCTTAAGAGCACAAAATCACATACACAGTATAATTACACATGGCAATTATTTTGGTGCTGTGCATTTGGTAAGACAGGTGGCAGTGGAGGAGGGTTATATGTTTTTTTAAAGTTAGAATTTTAATGTGAATTTATCAGATCTGCAGTTTCTGAGCCCATATGTGATCCAAAACATTGTTGGCCTTTGTCCTCACACCTCTCTAAACTGTGAGGTGCAGTTCTCTCATCACAAAATGAAGACCAACCAAGTACCTGCATTGGGAAAGTGTGTGTGTGTAAATGTTAGTGAAACTAAAATGCAAAATGGCAAAATTCTTGCGAAAACATATGCGACTAGCAAAACTGCATCCATGCCATGGGTATCCAGAAGAATGAACATGAATAAATATATACACGAGTGCTTGTACAGGCTTCTTTTAAGAAGCACAAACTAATGAGAACACAGGATAGAATGAGTTTAAGGGCAGGAAAATGACAGAAACCGAAATCAATGTTCCCCTGTTCCTAGTTACTAGGACAGTACTCACCAAGAATACTGTTGATGGAACAGCCATACCTGGAAGTACTGTTCTTCCTTGGGAGGGGAAAGAGGGCATATACAAAAACAAGTCTGTGCTTTCTTACTTCTCATAGAATAGATCCATCTTTTCTTTATGCTCCCAGCCATTGGGAATGGCAGCCCACATTCTAGAACATGGGGTGGTGACGTGTCCACTGTCTTGATGTCATTAGGCATGACAGTCCTTCTAACTCAGTGGTTCCCAACCTTGTTTCCCCAGACATTCTTGGACTAAAATTCCCAGAAGCCTTCACCACTAGTCAGGATTTCTAGGATTTGCAGTCCAAGAACACTGGGATGGACCCAAGGTTGGAAACGGGTATGTTGAACTATGATCAACCGTCTCCAACACAGGCTTCTTAGGGATAATCGGAACTGTAGTCTAGGGCAGTGGTCCCCAAACTTGGGTCTCCAAATGTTCTTGGACTTCAGCTCCCAGAAATCCTGGCCAGCAGAGGTGGTGGTGAAGTTGTAGTCCAAGAACATCTGGAGGCCCAAGGCTGGGGATAACTGGTCTAGGACATCTGGAAAGATGCTCGGTAGGGAAAGATTGGGCTTCTTAGATCTAATGAAGGGTGAGAAAGAGCTAAATCAGTCATTAGGACATGAGAAGCTGCCTCCAACCTAATGACACCATTAGTAACTATTGTCAGTTCAGACTGACAGCTGGTCATCCAAGGGTTCAGGATTCTTCTTCTAGTCATGCCTGGATATGCCCTGAACTTGGGACCTTATATATACAGTCTATCCAATTTATCCCTAAGCGATATCTCTCTGCCATGGCTATTATGATTTTCAGCAATAGGCATGGGGTTAAGATGGACCTAGGCTATTGAAACCACCCCTCTTGTTTTGTTTTGATCATGACCAGCTTTGCTTTGGGCATGCTGTGACAGGCAGGGGATCTACTGTACTGTATATAGAGAATGTGATCAAAGCAGTAATTAGGAAATTCTTGGAAATGACGCCTAAGCCCCCCCCCCAAAAAAAGCACTAACAGGATTTTTAATGCAGAACAATAGATGTTCATAGAAGTCATCCTAAAACATCCATATTTCTTTAAGTGAGGGGGTTTCTTTTCCTAATAAAGGCTAAATTCTTTTTTCTTTTCTTTTCATTCTGTACCATGATCTCTCTCTCTCTCACACACACACACACACATATATTCCAGATCACCTCATTATAAAAACTAGGGCAGATTCACCTGCACGCTGATTGAAAGCAAAGCCATGGAAATCTTTTGGGACTCAGGGTCAGCAGGAAAAAAAAGCATTAATGACATCCTCGTGGATACAAAGGAGATGGTGCAACAATGACCCACTGACAAATAGCTGTAAGGCTTATGTGTGACCTTTGCTACCAGCATTAGCTTTGTGTCAACCCTTGGTTGGGACAGCTGTAGCAGAATATGCTGTGTTTCAGACCAAGAGGAGACTGGACTGGAGCAGAAAACAGTAGGATAGATCTTAGTATTTTGGCCACACCTTTCCCCTTCTCAAAATGAAAGGGCCCAGCTTATACAAAATAGCTACTTGGTGGTTACATGTATCTCCTGGGTATTTTGACACCACCGCTATTGTGATGCACATACAGAAAGAAATACTGCAAGAGTTGCTGGAACTCTTTGAACACTAGTTGGGTTCCTTCTTCCTTTTTTTTAGCTTCCTTTTATCCACCCAAAATTCTGGGCTACATATTGACCTACCTTTGAGGTATGGTCGATTGGCTGGGAAATAGCTATTGCTCCTCAGAACTGGCGTTTTTAAAACCGTGCGTGCTTCCTGTAGAACGTGTGCCTGGAACAGAACTTTCAAGACCAGGATGACCGGTATTGACAAATTGTTCCTTCCTGCCTCTGAGTTCAAAGAGAACACCGCCTCTCTACTAAGTGTGTTTTTTTACCCTTTTCTTTCCTGGACTTGAGTTAGCTGTTGTTTTGTTTGCTCTTCATCTGTTCATAGTTGTATGCAATGAAATGTTTTTTATTCTTTCTACTACTAATGTCTCAGAGGGTGTTATTAGGACAGTAAGTGCCGGTTATTGAAAAAGGGGTGGTCTGGCTGAAGAACCTGAAGCTATTCACCTCTGTGTGTTTCTGTATTTCTTCTGTGTATCAAAAGGAATTTTTAGCAGAAATTCAAAACTCTGCAGCAGAAACACTAATTGCATTAATTCCCTCTGCACAATTAGCGTTATTTTCTAGTTTGGCTCATGGATCTGCGTGGTGTCCATACTGTACGAACAGCTTCTTAGTCTCCTGTGCATTCATTTGTAGACATTGACTGCACAGTAATCTTATAGATTTGAAAACTCTAAGATCACCTTTGTTTTCTTTCAGCACTAAGTCTTCTGTACTGTGTGCCTGTCATTCTGCCCAATAATTTGAGATCTGCTTCGTTAGGGCTTTGATCAGTATCATCATGTTCTCTTTCCTTCTGTTTTCCCTAATACGCCTTATTCCAGAAACTAAAAAAACCTTCCGTTCTCAAAGTCTAAATACGCCCAAGTCTGAACTGTAATTGTCTTGTTTTTTTTTCCGGCTTGTTTGCTCTGCTTTTTATCTGAACAGCTCACAAATGAACTGATTTGAACTCTGCTTGGGTGAACAAGAGCACAAAGAAAGATATACACTGCAGTAACAGGAGTGTTGAAAAATGGACAACAAGCTGTGTGGGTGAGCCTAGCTTGGTCTGAGAAACATAGTACAGATCAAATCTTCTGTAAGGATGTAATGAGTACAAACATGGGAGGTGGTTTTGGTCCTTGCAGGAAAAGGGTGTCTTGACAACCATCAGAAAAAAAAAAGGCACAAAGCCTGGAGATCTGCATTTGCCTAAAAGGAGACACTGATAGGAGCAAGGCTTTCCCCGGTCAAAGGGAAATAACTCCCCCCCCTCCTCAGTAATATGACATCCAAGAAGCGGCTATCGTACATGTTGAAGATCCCAGATTCAATTGTGGGCATCTTCAGGGCCCTATTCAGGCATTACAATGTTCAGAGCTTTGAGCATCCTCCCCCACCCTCTCTGTTGTCATATGGCTCACATGACCATTTGTTTGTTTGTTTAAAATATTTGTATGCTGCCTTTCTCCTCAAGCGTGCAAGATGGCTTACGGTATTCAAAGAAACAAGGTTAAAAATCAAATAATAGTTACAGTATTAAAAATGATTAAACAAATATAGCATTAAAACCCACAATAAGAACAATATCACACACACACAAACACACAGTCACACACACTCACACACCACACACGCGTAAAACACAGAATAATATTCTCCCTCTAAAAATTCCCTTTGGTCAACCAGTCATTTAAAGGAAAGCCTGCCCCAAAAAAGGTTCATAAAGGGAGACACAATCCTTGAGATAGCTTGTACCTTAGTCATTTAGGGTTTTAGAAGTTAAAACCAGCACTTTAAATCATGCATAGAAACGGATCAGTAGCCAGTGGATCCTCAGAGAATCTTAAAAGGAGAGTTGCTCCTGTGTAAACTCTCCGTGCAAATAACAACTCAGATTTCCCTGGATTTTGCTGCTCATTTGAAGATCCTACAGAGAAACTGAAACTGGACTTGGTGATGGTTGTATAAGCAAAAGGACAATCACAGGAGCAGGACTAAGCCCTCCTTTTAATTGCATTAAAACTTCCAGATTCAATAATTCCTGAATACAGATTAGGGCTAAAGCTAGGAAGAATTCTCATCTGACACGTTGGACAGCAGCCAATATCAACAGAGTTAGAAGAACCAAGGCTTCAGTTTCGGTATAAAACAGCTTCCTACCTTGCCTAAAATGTTGTATCAATGTTCTTGGTGCATTACAAAATTCCAGACAGGTCCCTCCCGCAAGGACTTCCAGGATATAATTTGGCATAAGGGGAATAAAAGGTGAAGGAAAATATGTTTGAGAAAGGTCATAGGTGAGTGGTAGAATATGTGGTTTCCATGTAGAAGTTTCAAAAGTCCGCTGCTTCCATCTTAAACGTAAGAGATTGTGCAACCCTGAAATATTCTGGACTTCACCCCCCCAGAAGCCTTGAGTTCACATTTTTATTCCTTTCAGATTGCGAATCATTGTTAATTTCTGAATGGAAATTCATGCACGTTCTCTGGAGCCACTTTGCTTGATGCACCCATTTATTTAGATACTTCTCACTTACTTTATTGACTAAATAGCAGTTGTGTGCATTTAGAGTTCTTAAAAACATGTGCCTGGTTTCACCCACATTTTAAGTCTCTGAAACGCATCGTCAACCTTACAAATGTGTGTGTGGGTGAGAGAAGGTGCTCTTTGTCCTGTGGAAGTGTCTTGGAACATGCGAAATAGATGTTCTTCAACCAGAAACTGGTTTCCACCAAAATTCTTTTCATCCCTCAATACAAAATGAGGAGAATGAATGAATGAGGAGATTCCTTCCTGTAGATTTTCCCAGATATACTCTGATTCTTTCATAGAAAATAAACTTTTCTTGCTTGCCCTATCAATAGAGAATGAGCCACTGATAAAATCAAAGGAGAAAATTGGACAAGGGAAGTTTAGCGTGCACCTAAAGCGTTAAAGACACAATGGAGTTTATTTTTGCTGAACGTGCTCCGAGTTCATCTTCTCTGGGACAAACTGGATTTTCGTTTGGGCATGGGCTCAGCTGTGCTTAGTTGGCTCAAGGTATCTTACCTCAACGTTTTAATGCATGAGATCCAGAGCTAATTTGAAAAAACGGTGTTCTGTGAGCTTAGCCAGCTCTCCTAGACCTCTAGTGATCCCTGGGGAACACATAGAATCACAGCTGAGCCCCCACTGCCCACTATCGATTGAGCCTTCACTGTTTTGTTTTATGCGAGGCATCTTGCAAGATAAGGTAAAGGTAAAGGTTCCCCTTGACAATTTTTGTCCAGTCGTGTTCGACTCTAGGGGGCGGTGCTCATCCCCGTTTCCAAGCCATAGAATTTTATGTGAGGCATCTTGCAAGATGATCTGGAAGGAAAGGAATTTCCACGGTAAGAGTAAGCACTGAGTGAAGAGTGATCCGGAACCAGGAATAGTGAGACGTAGATCAAA